ACTTTCGTTTTCCTCATTTTTGGTCTTTTCTCACTTGTTTATTCTTATTTATGCTACATTTATCACTTTGTCCTACAAAACATAAATTGCATAGAATTAAGTTATATTCTAACATATTAATCAACAATTTCTCATATTTTGATAGTAAAATAAGTATGTAAAAATGTACTTATCAACATTGCATCAATAGCACCACCTCACCATAACCTACCATTATACACACCACTACTAGGAAGCAGCGTCCGTCCACTTGCACATACAACGACTAGGTGTTGCTACTTCTTGAAAAAGATCGGAACAACATCTTCGTGAAATGAAAAAATTCAACCTAGCTTGCAGCAATGTTGGTGGCGGCAAAGCTTTTCGTTGTTGCTTGTGCTGCAAGTAGTGGCGAGCACTGTCACAACACCGACTTGACGAGAAGCGTCGTGCGGTCGGTGATGCTGGAGATGGGTGAGGGGTGAGGCGGGTGGGTAGGAAAAGAGAGAAGGAAGAATAGTGGAGGCATGAGGTTTGTCGTTGGAAGGATCAGTGGAAGAGTGAGGACGGCGGTAGAGAAAGGGTGAGGGATGGGGCAGGTGGCTAGGCGATAGAGAAAGAAAGGGATTGGAAAAATGATAAAGTTTGAAAATGAAATTGTTAGATTTAATTAAATTTATTAATTACAATAGTTTTATTTATCACCTGAAATTTGAATTTTAAACTCAACCCCCTTGTTTATGAAAACAAATCTTTAATTGTAGAGTTGATAGTAATTTTTCCCTTTTTTTTATTTTCCATTTCCTTGTTGGGCCAAGCAAATGTGTTTGGCTTTGAAGTAATGATTTGGAAGAAAAGCTAAGTTCAGCTAAAGAGTGGATTGGCAAACTACCTTTTAACCTAAAAATAAAAATTCATTCATTTTAAGAAATCCCCAATTGGATAAGACAGGCATTCTGCTTTTTATGTAGAGGCGGGGGAGAGGACGCAAAAATCCTTTCTATTGGTTCAGAAAGAGAGTTGAAATAGTGAAGAAGGATATAACACTTTTGTTGGTTGGGCATTTTCTGGTATGGTACAAATCTATTACCTTCGAATGAGTAATATTAGCATTCATTGTTATTGTTTAATTGACATGCGTATTAAACGATTATAAATATTACTAGTTTTTGGCCCACGCAATGCATGGGTTGTCTTATTTTTAAGGTTATATTAGCGTATATACATTAAATGAAGGTAGGAAAATGAACTTTATACTTCCACTCATCTCCTTCACCTGTTTACATAAATCAAACAAACAAATGCAGTCACAACCATATGAATGTATGATTAAAACATCTCAGGTAGAAAATTAAGGGGAGGTCTTATTTCAAGACTTCTGAAACATTTACTTTGTTTCATTTTTATCATCTTTTTTACTGTTTTGAATCATGTACAAGTCAATCATTTGCATCTCAAATATAAAAGTTACAGAAATAAGCAAGGAAAATGGTAACATTCAAATACTAAACCCAGACGATCCTTGACAGTTGCTTCCATTACTCTTTCGTTTTCGAACATTTCCTCCAGTCCAATTCCCTGGAAATCATAAAAACCAAAAACATAATAGCAGATCAGTTCTAACCAATTATATAAGTATTCAAGGAAAATTCCCAAACATTCCCTACAAGAATCAAACTCCATCCAATTCTTGCAGTTCATTTCCTTTATTACTTTTCAATTATTCTTCCCAAACACAAAAATTAATATGGCCAAAAGCAACGCCATTAACTAAAAATGTGTGTAATATAATCATTCATAGCAATTTTCTTCACGGTGAGTTGGCGACCCTAAAAGGCAGTGTCTGAGAAGCACTTGAATACCTACAAGTTTATAACATCAATTTTGAGTTCTTGAGAAGTTTAACTTAACATCTAAATGAAACTGAAGTATAAAGCTACTCAAACAAATCATCTAAACTACCACCCCAACATACATACATCCAGTCAGAAATATCAAAAGACGTAACTATTGATGTATATTCTAATTGTATCCACAGACCAAAAATATGAGTAATCTTCTACATTTTGAGATATAACTACAGAGAGCAACTGAACGTCGATAAAAAGTCTGCAGCTCTTCAATTTATGCTGATATTAAAAGCTGAGAGCCATCACTAATGTAGAACCATAAACTTCCACAAATTATAAAACATCACCATTCATTTCATTTAAGTGATGCACAAAGGATAAACATATGAAACCCCATCTACAGCATTACTGATATGACTGGTCATTTAGGTAAATCTTCAATTCATATGTGAGCAAACAAAAGTTTAATTCACTCCATCATATTCATAAACTATTTCAAAAAGAGACTTGTATAATCTCAACTATTTTCCAGAAAACCTTCACAATACACTCCACCTGAATCAGAATAAAATAGGCACCCAACCACCCATCCTCTGACTCAAAAATACACTAAATACTAAATAGCATTAACTCAACCAGGAAAACTGTTTACCTCCCCATTTTGCAAGGTCCAATTGGAAAATTTCTAAAGCATGTTTCTGACAACAATGTCTCCGCCATGTGCATGTACCTTAACATAGATAAATCAAGTTCCACAAGATATAAAAAATGTTAAGATAGGTAATTACATTAGTAATTGTTGTTATACTATCCAGTACCAACAAAAGAGTCAACGGAGCAACAAAATAATAATAAATTGCCGAAAATATGATACTAAGGTTTGTAAAAACAACCCCCCCCCACCCCCGCGCTTGCCATGCACCAATCCCCCATATTGCCTTTGTACAGACCATAACTCCCATACAGAGAACTGAAATTTTTAAAATTATTTCAACCAAAAAGAACCAACTACACAAATGAACAAAAACAGAAGCTTGCATTTTGTATATCAGTATATGCCTCCCATTTGAATATACAGCCATTGCCCACCAATAAAAAATTTGTAAAACCGTGACAATTGAGTATACCTGCTTTCAGGACTTCCCATCAGAAAATGTAATTGAAATGGAGCAAGCGGGCTTAAAAGCTCCAATTATAAATTCTGTAGGCAGAAGTTCAAAACCACCATAAAGATTTTAAATAATAATAATCATCAGTGTAGCAGTGGGGGGGAAAAAAGGAAAAAGACACAGCGATTCGAACCCCGATCCAATCCAAAACCTGAAATGGAAAAAACTTTCAACAAATTTTCATCTATAATTAAAGCTCTATTCTACTTGCATTTGAAGACGAACAATCATAAAACAGGTAATTTGGACAATATAGCATAATAAACCCATAAATATTCATGTGCTGAAAATACAATGATTTAGGGGAAAACCCTAAAACCTATTTCATTTTATCCTGAAATCTCACATAGAACAAATTGAACTATTCATTACCTATGGCGATTGTGATCAACCCACTATTGCAGCCAATGTCAAGGCATTTTTTGCCTTCAAACCATTCCCTATTCAACACCTTTATTCTAGGATCTTCCTCCAAGTCCTGACCCACCTGAGAATACAATAATCACAACATATAAATATGAAATAATTCAAACTGTACAAATCAATCGACGTATACCATTGAACAATTACAGAAGATGAAATCGATTATTCAAAAATCGTTGTGGAAGTTTTCACAATTAGGACTTCTGAAACAAGTACTCAGATGTATGATTCTATTTCAAATATGTTTTTCTTTACCCAAAAAATAAGCTATAATAACAAAGGCAATGAAAGGGCCATGACACCTTTGATTCAAATAATTTAAACACCGAATAAAACTGAGAAAGCAACCCAGTAGACGAGAGCATCACCCAGTCTAACAATAATATTAAACCCTATTTATGTACAAAATTGAACCCAGACTCCAACTTCTCTTTATACGTGGAGTGGAAAACAAAATTTAGTTTACTATGCAGCTTGGCATAGAAGATTATCCCAAGCTGTATTAGAACACATCTTTTAAGAAACAAAAGTTCAAAACCTGACCATTAAAAGTGTTGGAAAATACATAGAAAGTAAGCACAGTGCAAACAAATGTAGCAGTGATCATGATCCACAACCAGGGCAAAGAGGGAAGAGGTTAAACGAAAATTAATTCAGCATTCTTGACAAATAATCACCTCAAACATCATAATAAGCAAAAGTTAACACAAAAGAATTAGTTTTACCCAAAAGTCCCATCACTCGAGTGGAGACATGAGTATTAACATCAGAAGTAATCTTTGCAAGACCAAAATCTCCAACCTGAGACAATAAATGACGCTCATCAATATAAGCATAATAAAAAAGATAAATTTATCAATCTCCTCTACATCAATTATTTGCATGTTCAAGTTGAGTTGAGTTGCTAATTTCATTGTAGTCGGGGAAAATCCAAATAGACCTATTTTGTGAGGAAATAGAGTTTCTAAATCCTACTGCTCATTTTCGAATGAGATATGAGTTGCTGCTTAATTGAGAATGACAAGAGAGAACTCAAGGGCAGCCATTTGT